GGCCATGGCTGCACAGTAGCTTCGCTGGCTCACCTACCTGCTGACTGACCTTGGAGAGCCGCCTTGTTCTCCTCCAGTGCTGTACGTAGACAACAAGGCCATGCTGGCCTTGTGTCGAGAGCAGAGACTGGAGCACAGAACGAAGCACATTGCTCTTTGCTACTTCCTTGCTTGTGAGCTACAGCAGGGTGGTCAGCTGCAACTTGCGTACGTGGCCTCTGAGGCCAACACTGCTGATATCTTCACCAAGGCACTTGCGCCTTGTGATCATCAGCGCTTCTGTACTCAGCTGGGTCTTGTGCCTACCTTGCCTCACTTGCTCACTCCTTGACCTTGTTTGTACTGTTGCATATATATGTACACTTGCTCTTGCTTGTCTAGCCTTATATATATATGTAATCCTGCATGTGAACTGGCCTTGTGGCCTTGAACTTGTGCTCGGAATGTGTGGTGACTTTGTGATCCACCCTGAGCTTGCTTTGCTTTACTTTGCTTGACTGGTCTTGTGACCCCTTGTTCTCCCCCACTTTGCCTATGGGGGTGTGTCAGAACAGTATAGCTTATACATTAGTGTAGGCTGTAGTGGGGTAGCCCATAAGGGGTACAACCCAATTAGGGTTAGTACTTGTACCCAACTCTTTCATAGTGCAATCATCCTCGTTCTCTTTTCTCAAGTCCTGCCTCGGTCGTTCCCGCGAGAAGCGTGCTGCGCATGCGCTCGGGGGAGTACCCCATCGGAACGGTGCGGAGAACCACATGGGTGTCACCCTTGGCGCGAGCCGTTGTGATTTCCTGATTGGGATCTGAGAACACCTTGACTTCCATCCCACGGTTGTTAGCCAGACGAACCGTGACCGGAAAGAGGCTGCGAAAGATCCTAGCGTCATTAGTAGAAGGCCAAGAAAAGGTATGCTTGGAATACGTGTGGCGGGGAAGCTGTAAGGCCTCACCGCCCGCTGACTCAAACGAGGGAATTACACCGTTGAAAGCCTGACCGTTGATGAGAGCTGAGATACGCGAAAGCACCGCGGCGCGAACCTCCTCCGATGAAGACTCGGGGAAGATCACATCCACCATCGATTGCGTGTCGCGCGTCAGAGTGTGCAGAACCGCTCCAACCATCATGCGATGACGGCGCAAGTTTCGATAGCGAGCGTTGGGTGCAAGGCCGGTGGTCACGCCAGCAGCTGTATGGTCTGGTTCAGGTTCCGGCTGCAAAGGCCGAGAGCGAGAAGCAGGCGCCGGGCGAGGCGCAGAAGGAGCAGGTGTGCGACCAGGCGCAGAAGCCGTGGCAGCAGAGCTGCCGGAGGAGCTTGCGCGGGGGACCGGGGGAGGAGCCGAAGGAGGCGCGGAGGCAGTGCCTGAGGTACTAGCAGCCGAGGATTGCCCCTCACTGCATAGCTTCTTCGCCGTAGGTTCTCCCGAGGGAGGCGGCTGAGCACCGACAGGAGCAGACGGCGCAGCATTCTCGTGGAGATCGCGCAGAGCTCCGTCAGGGAGTTCACCGAGGAATTCATCCCCCAGCTCGTCAAAGTAATCGTCTCCAACGAGAATCTGACCTTCCGTCATGACGTGGTCGGGATTGTGCTCGGTAGCCATGGTTGCGAGAGGTACTCGTGAAATGGCCAAAGGCCTGGCTTTATGCCAAGATCGTGGTGAGAGGGGGAGAACCACCGGATCGGGAAATGTTGCAAGTGTAGGCAAAAACCGGGACCGCACATCGAGACACAAAGAGTAAAAATTGGTGCTTTGGCGATGGCCGTGGCAACCAGTAGGAGGTGACTGGGAGCCAGATCGGCTGCCCGAGTCGGCAAGACACGCATGTGAGTTAAGCGGAAGAGTCAGGCAGCCGCGAGGGATAGCACGCTGGCAATGAGGTGGAAACAATAAGCCTGGATCGGGGGGACGAAGCAAGACCGCCACAAGGGTCTTGCATGAATGAGAGCAGCCTGAGGTGGTCCATTCTGACTCGGAACCAACTTGGACGGGGAGAACATAAGGATAAGGTAGCAAGCTTCCAGCATTACGGGAGCACCAGTCGTCGCGTTGGGCAAGGAAGGAATCTTTGTTGAAGTGGCGCTCTGCGTTTGCACAAAACACGGAAGTTAGTAAAGACACATTGTTAGCCCAGCTCACCTTTCCCAGAAAGTCGGAGTAGAGAAGCCAGAGGGGGATCCAAAGACCCAAGAGCCTGCGCACAAGACATGCGTTACAGATCAAGGAGCTTTGCTTACCTTCGAGAAGATCGATCCATGAAGAAGAGCGAACGCAAAAAACGTTATCATCATGGCGATTCAATGGTGTAGAAGGTAAGCGGAAGCAGGTGTAAACGAGTACAAGGAGTAGCAGGGAAGCGGAGAGCTTCATTATTCTCGGCTCCACATTCGAGTTGAGAGCAAAACTTGAGGGGAACGAGAGCGCCGAGCCAAGCCACAGCAGTCAGGATGGGTAGCTAGAGCCCAACCACTTAGGGCGCGTGTGGTCTTACAAATTTGTGAAAGTTTATGTTTTTAGGTCGAATGTAGCATCTGAACAAAACTCGACTTTCTTTCCAGCGAAGTTCGAATCTTGGGTCTCCAACACAGACGAGTCATTATCTCACACCCAAGGTCGAACACAGAGATTCGACCTTTTAGGGATGGCGGCGAGCCGCCCGTAGGGAAGCAGGTTACCTGGTACAGCGCGACACGTTAACGTAATGCACAACGAAGCTCAATGACCTTCGCAAAGCGGTCGCGATTTTCGGATGGCCTTCGTACGCGCTGAAAACAACACACACTCGCCTCACGTGCACCCGCTCGTTCACTCGTGTGATTCGAGTTGAGTTTACATTTGACATTCGAACTTATGTGCCCCAAAATTCTCATGTCTTCGCCAAAGCTTCCTGACGACATTAGCAAAGCTGGTAACCACACAAAGTTCGACCCTTTTTCCGAACTTGAAAATAGATCACACGCGCCCTTAGAGTCTCGAAAGACTCCGGTTTGGTAGTGCTGGGATCCTACCCTTTTGAAACGTCCCTAACTTACCCACCCAGCCTCCGTGGACTTGATCTCCAACGCGGGAATTTTGCGTTCCATGTGGCCACCGTCTTGAAGTGTGCAATGTGCAGCTCTGGCAGCAAACGGAAGGTGAATCTTTCGTGATGGTTCGGCTGGCAGCGATGCTACAGCGTGCCTTGTCTACTGGAGGCACAGCGCGCAACCTGACAGCGAGTTTTACGGGTGGGAAATGGGAGATGACTCGGATGACTCGGATGTGAGATGTTCCAGAAAGCTACTGTAGGTCCACAAGTGCTACTGTACTGTGCGAGGCTCTACTGTAGATCTTTGAAGTTGTGTGCGACGAAAGACGCGTGGGTCCTCCTCCCTCCTCACCTCACCTCATCTTCTCTGCTCCACCCCCCATAGCCAGCGGTGTATCTTCTCGGGTAGCGTCGCTGATTGTTCCTCCATTGGCGGTATCTTCTACTGCTCAATCAGGAGCGTCTGATGGCATGATGGCAATACCTAGAACTGTCATACAAGTGAAGAATCCAGCTAGTGCAGATAATAAGTGAAGCATCCCCCTCTGCTTCGCCTGGACCTCGCCTATTCAAAAACTCATTCTGGCGGTGTTCAGTTCTGTTCTGCTCCCGAGTTGACTTGTCTTTCAGAGAGTTTCACATCACACATTTTCGCCGAACTATGCCTTCCAGTAGCTCTAGGGAATTGAGCTGGCGAATCTAGCTACTAGCTGGCGGATTATCGTTAGTAAGCGCAGACTGGCTGGTGATACCCACGCTCTAACTCTTACTGTAATCGATTCCCGCGTAAGCTAATGAGACGCGGCCTGCAGAGCTCCTGAGGGCACTTTCGCTGCCAGCGAATTTGTGAAAGTTAAAACTGAACAGGAATTTCTGAAAGCTGGAAGCTTAACGCGGTACGGCGTGTAGCTTCTGAGTAGTAGTGCGGTCACGCAATCCTATCCCAGTCGCCGACCGTTTGCCGGCGTGAGGCGTTAGACACCCCCTGAATACTCCAAAGTGTACTCGGGATCATCATGCTTGAGGATAGTGGTAGAGCGCTGGAGACGATAAGGTCAGCGCGCGATTCGTCGAGCGGGCGAGCCGCTCGTTGGCTTTGAGGAGCCTTGCCCGTGATCAGTTTAATCTCACTGATTATAGATTGATCTTTCTTAAGATTAGGTCATCGACATATCTCTACGCAAGGCTTCTCGAGTGTCGAACTTGGCAGTTCCAAGGGTGGGAGGCCTTCACAGAACCGACCTTTCCAGTCAAGTACCTGAACTTTGAGGCGGGTCTCGAATCGCCTTTTCCCAGCTTTCGCGACGCCGACGGTTGAATCTTGGGAAATATTTCTATACGTCTTCAAAAGTTCAAACTTTGAAATAAATCTTGAAGATTCGCCATGAGTTTTACGACCGGCTTCGCGAAGCTTCCACCTTTCGGCACAGCTGAAGCGGCGGCGTCGGCTGCGGCTGCGGCGGCGTCGGCTGCGGCTGCGGCGGCGGCGGGGACAAAGAGGCGCGCGGAAGATGCGCTGGAGGGAAGCGGCGCAGGCAGCGGCGGCGCAGGCGGAGGCGGAAGCACAAGCGGCGGAAGTTCCGGTGCGTTGCGGAGAAAGATCGAATCTTCCGGCCCATCCCCTCCGCAATTGCCGCCGCCAAAGACGGCTCCGTCGGCGCTGCAGGGTCGCCCGCCGACTCCGCCGACAGCAGCGTCTGCAGCGGCGGCGGCGCTGGTAGCATTGTCGCCGCCGCCGGCGCTTGCGGCGCAACAACGAGCGGCGTCGCAACAGCAGGCGGCGCAACGGCAGGCGGTGCAACAGCAGGCGGCGGCGCAACAACGTCAAGCCGCGGGGATGGCGGCGCAGCAGCAGCAGCAGCCGCGACAGCAGCAGCAGGCGGCGGGGGGACTCCACGTGCGCGCGCTGTGGCTCACTGTGAGCCCCACGGAGCGGTACCTTCTGCTGGAAGACCAAGAGACGGGAGACGTGCTGATGCCGCTCATCCACATGCGCGTGAGTCTCGCCGCTCCTACCTTCTGCACTCTCTTTCCCCCCCTTGTCTCCTCGCCCAACTGCACTCACAAGCGCTCCTCGCTCCAGCACCGCCCCGTCACCATCTCTGCCGCCGCCCGTCCCATTCACTCCTCTCCCCCCTCCGTGTCTCCTCTCCCCCCTCCGTGTCTCCTCTCCTCCCTCCGTGTCTCCTCTCCTCCACCTTTCCAAGTAGAAATTGTTTGAGCCCAACTAAAGCCACAAGCGCTCCTCGCTCATCGCCGTCTCATCGCCATCTCTCCTCACCTCGCCGCCTCTGTTGTTGCTCCCCTGCTCACTCCCCTCCTCTTGTCTCCTCCCCACTCTCCTCACCTCTCCTCTCTCCTCCCCCGCCTCCGCCCTTCTCTCGTCCTTTCTCTCCTTTCTCTCCTCTCCCCGCCCATCTCCCCCCTCTCTCGCCCGTCTCCCCCTCTCGCCCATCAGAAAATGTTTGAGGCCAACTACAGTCGCAAGCTCTCTTCACTGAAGCACCGTCTGGTTACCATCTCGCCAGACCTCGCCACCTCTGCTTCACTGCTGCCTCGCTCACTTCCCCTTTTTTTCCACTCCCCACTCTCCCACCCCGTCCTCCCCTGCCTCCTCTCCCCTCCCCTCCCCCGTTTCCTCCCCTCTCCTCCCTCCCCTCCGTCCTCTCCCCTCCGTCCTCTCCCTTCCCCGCCCATCCCCTCCCCCTCTCGCCCATCTCCCCTCCTCCTTCCCAGAAAATGTTTGAGGCCAACTACAGTCGCAAGCTCTCGTCGCTGAAGCACCGTCTGGTTACCATCTCGCCAGACCTCGCCGCGTCCGCCGCCGCCGCCTCCGCGCTGCCCTCTCTGCCTGCGCTGCTGCAGGGCTTCCTGTACTGGCGCTGGGCGTTCGAGAGCCCGCACGAGGTGAGAGAATCAGAGGGAATAGAGGGGGATGGAGAGCAGTGGGAGGGTGGGGGATATGGGTGCATGGCTGCTGCAGGGCTTCCTGTACTGGCGCTGGGCGTCTGAGAGCCCGCACGAGGTGCGGAGTGGGGAAGGGAGGGGTGGAGAGTGGTGGGGATGGCAGGGTGGGTGCGGGAGGGAGAGAGGGAAGGCTGCCTGCCCTGCTGCAGGGCTTCTTGTACTGGCGCTGGGCGTTCGAGAGAAAGGTGCTGGGCACAAAGTGGGTGGAGAGAAAGGTGGTGATGCACAAGACGCCTTTGGAGTCGACTCAATGCTCTCCTTACCTGTGCTGCCTTGCTGCCGCGCCCCTGTTCCCCTTGCTGCACCCGTGCAGGTGAAGGTGTTGGGGCGCACGATGCTGGGCGAGGCAAGGAGAACACCCCGCAGGGCCACCTTTGAGAATTCTCATAGCTGCCATGCTGCCGCGCTCCCACTCCCCGTCCCCTTACCCACCCCACGTCCCCGTTCCGCACGCGCGCAGGTGAAGGTGCTGGTGCGCAAGATGCTGGACGAGGCGAGGAGAACACACCGCAGGGCCACCCGTGCCCCTGTCAACTCAACGCTCTCCTAAATTCCCCTCACCTGCTCCGTTGTGCGTCCCGTGCTCATGTCCTCCCATACCCACACGGCGACCAAGTGAAGGTGCTGGTGCGCAAGATGCTGGGCGAGACGAGGACAACACCCCGCTGGGCCACCCCTCTCAATGGTCTTTTGTGCTCTTTCTGCCTGTGCTCCCCCCACCTGTGCCCCCCCGCTCCCTCCGCGTGTGCGTTCCTCTGTCCCTATGGCAGGTGAAGGTGTTGGTGCGCAAGATGCTGGGCGAGACGAGGACAACACCCCGCAGGGCCTTTTGAGTCGACTCAAAAGCAGACAACACCCCGCAGGGCCTTTTGAGTCGACTCAAAAGCAGACAACACCCCGCTGGGCCTTTTGAGTCGACTCAAAAGCAGACAACACCCCGCAGGGCCTTTTGAGTCGACTCAAAAGCAGACAACACCCCGCAGGGCCTTTTGAGTCGACTCAAAAGCAGACAACACCCCGCAGGGCCTTTTGAGTCGATTCAAAAGCAGACAACACCCCGCAGGGCCACCCATCCTAATGGTCCTTTGTGCTCCTCCCACGTGTGCGTTGAGCAGGTGAAGGTGTTGGTGCGCAAGATGCTGGGGGAGGAAAACACCCCTCAGGGTCACCTGCGCCTCATTCTCGTGCCCATTGTGTACAACGCCATGGCGCTCAAGGAGAATCTCAGAAAGGTGGGTATCGACCTAAGTTGGAATATACGCGTTTAGCGTTTTGTACGCTTGCTGTATAAACGCTAGAGTATATACGCAAACCGCAGTCCCTGAGGGGTCTGGTACGCACAAGAATCCGCTTGCCCGGGCAGGAAAAAAGTTTTCCCCGGGCAGATTTTTGGGGTAAGAGGTGGGGATGGGGGGGTGTTGTAACCCCCATCCCCTTTGTATTAATATGAAAGTTACAGGAAAAAAAAACCCTTAACACTAATTTGCCGCTACAACTTCACCCACCTTAATCATGCTACTACCCCCCCATCCCCTACTCTACTCAGGTCCACCCTCCATCCCCCGCCTGCCGCTCATGCATGGAGTCTTCCATCCACTAGTACTCATCTGCCATCACATCATCCTCCCCCTCCTCAGGTTCCTCCACCTCCTCCGGGACGTTGTAGCCAGCCGGAGTGGGGGGGGTCCTCGATGTTTCCCTTCACCACCCCCAGCCCTTCAGGGGCCTTGTGCCAGCTGTGCACCACCTGCCAATTGTGCGTCACATACACCAGGTCACGAAGCTTCACCGCGCCGAGGCGGTTCCTCCTTGCCGTATGCACTGCATCAAACTTCGCCCAGTTACGCTCACATGGAGACGCGGACACCGGCTGCGTGATGGCGCGGCAAGCCATGGTGGTGAGCTCAGGATGATCGGTCCCGTGCCATGTCCACCAGTCCACCGCCGTCATCTTGCCCTCCTTCACTGCCTGGCGGTCGGCAATAGCGTCGGGCATGCCGAAGCTGCCTTGGAGGTTCAGGAAGGCATTGTGGCCTTCCTGGATGACGAGAGAGGCGCGGCGCTCGACCCCGTCCTTCCTGGTGACCGCCTTGTCACCATGGTGCTTGGAGACGTACTGCTTGAAGACCCTCGTGCGCTCCAGGTCGGTGCGGAAAATGCACTCTTCCTGGTTGGTGGGGTAGAGGATGCGGCCAATCACGTGCAGGTTGCACGCCAGCCCGTTGTCCCAGCGGTCCTGCACGATCTCCCGAATATCCCCCACCTCGTCGCTTGTCAGGACCCCTTCCGCATGCTCGTCGAGGAAGTCGCGGATGTCCTCGGTGAGCTGGAGCATGAGGTCGTAGAGACGACCCATCATGCCCTTCGAATCCGAGTCAGTCTTGCGCATGACGACGAATGGCAGCCTCATCAGCTTAGCGAAGAACTCGGCGCGCGTCCACCACGCGGCATCGAGGATGTTGTCTTTGAATGTGTCTGCCCCAGCCTCCGCAGCCGCAGTTCACTCGACCCACTCATCGCTGAGGACCATCTGCGTCAGGCCGGCGCGCACTTCACAGAGGCGGTTGATGGCGATGTAGTTGGTGCCGAATCGGGTTCCCGCGGGCTTGAGAACCTGTTTCCCCTTGCCGCCGTTCACGAGCGGACTCCGCATGTATCCCCGGGTGAAGTGATGGTTGCGGACGAACGAGATGAGGGTGTCCCCGCGCGTGATGATGTCCTTCGCCCATCCCTTTTTCCCGATGTCCTCCATAAGGAGATCAAGGACATGGGTCGCGCAAGGGATGTGTTCAATGTGGGGATACTCGCGCATCAACACCCTGCATGCCGCCGCGTAGTTGGAGCCGCCGTCAAAACACAAGGCGACGACATTCTCGGGGCCGACCTTTTCGATGATGGGCCGCAAGATGCCCGCGATGTAGCCCCCGGTCTTCATCTCCATCTTCGTGTCGATCGACTCCACAAACACCGCACCGCTATCGTTGATGAGGAGCACGTTGGCTTGCGGGCGGCCGGCCTTGTCGGAGAACATGTCGCTTGCCACGGTGACACCGTCACGGCGCCAGCTTGCTGAGATAGGAGCGAGCGCCGCCTCAATGCGCTGGCGACACTTTGCAAGACCGGCGCCACCGATGTAGCGTCTCTTCGGCGCGACGTAATTCAGCCCCGCGCGCTGGATGGTGGAGACCACATTGTGCCATAGTGGGTGGTCCGCGTGATGCTCCGGCACATGAAGATCGGCAAAGAAGAGGCTTATGGCCTCGTCCGCAGCTTGGTTCGCGCACGCGGCGTCTTCGCCGTAGAAATCGGTCATCCAACTCTTCTTCTTCTCCGAACCTCTGCCGTTGACTGCGCCGACCGCCGCAATTTCAGCCGCACGCTTCGCTTCACGGGCCTTCAACTTGGACTCGTAAAGCACCTTCACGGCGTCACGTGCAGTCTTCGGCGCTGCAGTGCAGAGATGCACTTCGCGACGGCGCATGCCGTTCCAGCCGGTGATATGCTGCGCGCAACGGTGAACCCCGCCAACAAACGTGAAGTTGCAGTAGGCACACACCTTGGTGCCGTTCTCGCCAACGCTATTGGCCGGCACCTTGAAGTGACGGTAGACTGCGTGCTTGCTGTCCATGCAGACCAAAGACGTACTAGAAGAGGTCCCACCAGCGGAACTACCAGGAGACTCTGAGGGTGGCGTACGAGAAGTGGTTGCTGTAGGAGTGGAAGCCATGGTGGCTTGGGAAAGGAAATAGCTAGAATAGGAAGCGAGAGAACGAATGTCGAGGGAACAAACGCCTCTCTTTATGCCTGGGAGATTGGGTTGGGTTGAGCTCCCAACCAGTAAAGTAGCACTTGGAGGGGATGGTGGAATGCTGTGGTTCAAAGGGGTGTGAAACGTTTGAGGGGAGGGGTTGATGAGGTTTGGTGCTCGAAATTCAAATTTTGAGTTCATTTCGCGACATCTGCGACTCGGAATTGAGATCGCCACGTCGCGAGCTTCAGATTGAAATTTTGTTTTTTTTTTTTCGGTCTGCCCGAAATTCAACTCGGCGAATTTTCAAACTATACGCAACGTACGAATTCGACAAGCGTATAAACGCAAAACGCAAAATGAAAGTAGCGTATATTCCAACTTAGGTATCGACCACTCCCAACCTCTTTCAGCCACTCTCAACCCCACTGGATCACTCTTGACCCGATTTTGCCATCTTGACCTCGTTTCTGCAACTGTGAGTCTCATTCTCGTGCCCATCGTGTACAACGCATTGGCGCTTAAAAAGAACCTCAGAAAGGTGAATCTCACCCACTCTCACCCACTCTCACCCACTCTCTCACCCACTCTCACCCACTCTCACCCACTCTCTCACCCACTCTCACCCACTCTCACCCACTCTCTTACCCAGTATCACGTGCATCCGTGCCTTACTGCCACCCTCACCCCCACCCTCACCCCACCTTCCTCTTCGCCTGCCCGCCCCCCTCGCCCCTCTCCTCTTGTCCCGCCCCCCTCGGCCCCCTCGCCCCTCTCCTTGTGTCCCGCCCCTCACCCTCTCACCAGACGCCCTTCTTTGCCAAGCTAGAGGCGGCTCTGCGCGTGTCCTCCTACTGGCAGCTGCTCAAGCCACAGACTGACGGGGACGCTGTGCCTGCTGCCTCTGCCTCTGCCTCTGCCTCTGCCTCTGCCTCTGCCTCTGCCTCTGCCTCTGCTCCCTCCGCTGCTGCTGCTGCTGCTGCTGCTGCTTCTGCTTCTGCTTCTGCCAGCCGTGTGGACGGTTCTGCTGCTCCGGACGCTGCGGCTGGTGCTGGTTCTGCTGAACGTTCCAAGGGACGGGTTGCTGAGAAGGGGGATGCGAGTGTGCAGGGGGAGGGGGAGGTGGAAAAAGAGGGTGGAGGAGGAGGGGGCGGAGCGGGAGGAGGGGGAGGGGATTTGATATTTCCCGGCCCGTTTGATCTCCTGAGAACAGTGGCCAAGTACTGTGTGTCTTACTCTGCGGCTGAAGAGGCTGAGAAGAGGTACGCTGGTGTGTTGCGGTGTGGTGGGTTTGGAGGTGGTGGGGTGGGGTGGGTTCTGGAGTCCGTTTGATCTCCTGAGGACGGTGGCCAAGTACTGTGTGTCTTACTCCGCGGCTGAGGAGGCTGAGAAGAGGTACGATGCTGAAACATGACATGGTAGTGCAGTGCGGTGAGGTGGAGTCTGGTGGGGTGGGATGGGGTGTGGTGGTGGGTTGCGGTGTGGTGGGTTTGTGTGGTGTTCGTTGCCTTTGTAGACCCGCAAAATCGAATCCCTGCTCTCCCCACCCGCCCCTCCCCTCCTCCGTCCTCTATCCTTTGTGACAAACATGAGCAATTCGTTTATTTCCTTCTCTTCCCACTTTCTCCGCCCCTCTCCCTCCCCTCCAACTTCTCCTCTCGTCAACCCACTCCCTCATGCCAAAAAGCAACAATCAACGCTGGACATTCCTTGTACCTGACACCTCTCACTCCTCTCTGCCCTCCCTGCTCGTTGTCCCTACCTTTACCCCTCTCTTTGCCATCCCACTCCGCTCCACCCACCCCCTCCCCCACATGGCAGCAAGCAGCGATCGATGATGGGTAACACCTCGTTCGCCTCCTCCCCCTTTTTTCTCTCTAGCAGCAGCACCACCCACGCCCTTCCCCTCCCCTCCCCCCTCTTCCCTACCTGTGCTGCTGACACTGCTGCGGCTAACGCTGCTGCTAGTGCCGCTGCTGCTGCCGCCGCCGCTGCTGCGGCCAATGCTGCTGCAACTGCGTCTGCTGGTGCTGGTGCTGCTGGTGCTGCTGGTGCTGCTGCTGCTGTGAATGCATCTACTGCTGGGAGTATAGGTGGGAGACAGGCGGGTAAGGGGGGAAAGGTGGGTGTGGAGGGTGGGGAAGCCATGACAGGTGCTGTTGCTTTAACCTCTGCTGCTGCTGCTCCCCCTTCCTCCCCTGCTGCGTCTTCTGCTCCTTCTGTCCCTGACAGCTTTGGGTATAGAGATAGGGGATTTGGAGGTGAAAGAGGGGGGATGAGAGGAGGAGAGAGCGGAGGAGGGGTGAGTGTGCGTGGAGAGCGAGAGGTGCTGAGAAGAGGTCAATCTGGGATTAGATTTGATTCCGGATTGAGTAATGGGATGATTGGGCAGGCAGGGAAGGGAGAGGAGGAGGAAGGGGTGAAGAGTAGGGAGTGGGGTGGAGGCATGGAATCAACAGAGAGGAGAAGAGGAGAGAGAGGAGGGGGGGCAGGAGGAGGAGGAGAGAGGGTAGGAGGGAGAGAGACAGAGGAAGGATATGGCTGGGGCGAGGAGGGTCGAACACGAGGCTCGGGGTTAGATTCGGGGGAGGATTCGGCTGCTCTGCTTCGGGAGATAGCGGAGGTTCGGGAGCAAGGAAAGGCTGTCCAGGCCGACTTTCAGCTGCTGCGCAGGGATTGGCTGGCGCATGCTGCTGATGTCAGGGCCCATGCTGCTGACGTCAGCAAAGAGATGCGGGCTTTAAGGGGGCTGTTGGAGCGAATCCTTGCAAATGTTGAGCCGAGGAGGTGAGTCTCTCAATATTACCTGCTCCGTTTTGCGAATATTACTCATTCCTGTATTATGCTATGCATGCTCTAGAATGTATGTATGATGCATGTGTTTTTACATATCCTACTGTGCCACACTTCGGCTTCTCTACTTTCTCCACCTCTAATCCATTTCTTTGTTGCCTCCCCACAGCAGCACTGCAGCAGCAACAGTACCACCAGCATCGTCAGCACCAGCGGCAGCAGAAGCAGCGGTAGAAGGAGCAGCAGCAGCACCAGCGGCAGCAACAGCAGAAGTGGCACCAGCAGCAGCAAATCACCGATTCTTCCAGCCAGCCCATCAAAGCCCTCCCCACCGCTCCTTCATCCCTCCTCCTCCTGCTTCGCCCTCTTCCAACATTCTCCAACCGAAACACAGTTCAGCAGCAGGAGGAGGAGAAGATGCTGCAGAGATGAAGTCCCATCCACCACCATCATCTCACGTCTACCCTCCAAGCATTGAAACTGCTGCTGGTTCTGCTGCTGCCGTTGCTTCTGCTGCTGCTGCTGCTGCGCCCGCCGCTCTGTTCGGTGTGAGCCTCACTGCCTCAACTCGTGCCTCTCTGGCTGCTGCTGCTGTTGCTTCCGGTTCTGCTGATGGCAGTGGCAGCATCAACGATGCTGCTGCTTATAAAGATGCAGCTTCTAACGGGGTTGCTGCTGCTGGTGGTGCTTCTAATGATTTAGCTGCCTCTAACGGTGCTGCTGCAGCAGGCCTCCACTTCTCTGCATTTCCTGCATTTCCCCCAGACCCTGCTGTTCGTCCTACTCCTCTGAAGCTGTTGTGTGGCACTGACACGGCTAAAACAAGCACCGCACCTGCTGCTGCCACTGCTGCTTCCGCCGCAGCTGCTGCTGCTGCCGCTGCTGGATCTGCGGCTGCCGATTCTACTGCTGCTGGTGCTGCTGCTTCTGCAGCAGGGAACCATTCGGGGATGGGTTACGTTGACAAGGGAGTGACTGGCAAGGGAGTGACTTCTGCAATGTCTCAAAAGTCGGCGAGCCATCTAAGCATGGGTTACATCGGAGAGAATGGCACGGGAGTGCAAGTGCAGGCGAACGATGCAAGGCAAGGCTTCAGAGGCGACGAGAATTTCAATTTGTTTCGTCAGCCAACCTGCAGCAATAACGAGTGTGCTACTAACGAGTATGAGAGAGCCACTGGCCTTCAGGTTTACAGTGCAGGGGCAGTGGGAAGCGGAAGGGCGTTTGATGGTGTAAGAGGCTCCCAGCATTGGGAGTCGGGCGATAGAGTAGCAAGCAGGGGAATTGATCTGGGGAAGAGTGTTGGCTTAGGCTTTGAAACGCCTCAGAATGATGCTTCAAGGTGGAGTTATGGGAAGGGGAGGGAGGAGAAAGAGGAGAAGGGGGAGGCGGAGAGAGAGCGAAGGGAGGAGGGGAGGATGGATGGGGGCCGAGGGGGAGGTGTGAATGGGCAGTTGGAGGGGCGGTTATGGGGTAGGGACCAGGAATTTGAAAGGGGGAATGGGGGAGTAAGAGATTGGTGTGGGGAGAGTGGGAGAGAGAGAGAAGGGCGACAGAAGATTGATCTGAATGAGGGAGGTGAGGAGGGATTGTGGAGGGTACAGGAGACAAAGCATGGATTACTGAGGGGTGAAGGTTTGCCACAACAGGGTTTAAAGGAGGGGGTTTTGCTGCGACGGGATTGGTTGAAAGAGCACGGGCAGCCAGGGCAGAGAAAGGATTTGCCTGACAGGCAGAGTGAGGATGTTTCCTGGAAGAAGCAGGTGGAGGTGCTGCAGCAACAGCTGATGGCGTATGAGCAACGGCACCAGATGATGATGCAACAGCAGCAACAGCAGCAACAACAGCAGCAACAGCAGCAACAGCAGCAGCAACAGCAGCAACAGCAGCAGCAACAGCATCACCAGATGCAGCAGGAACGAGAGAAACAGCACCCGCAGGAGCAGCAACAACAGCAGCACCGAGAGGAGCAGCACCAGCTCCATCAGCAACAGCAGCATCAGCAGGAGCAGCATCAACATCAGCAGGAGCAGCTCGAGCTAAAGAAGCAGAATGGTTTGGAATACGTTCGTGCGGCGGGAGACAAAGTGATGCAAGGCAGAGCTTCCTCGCCTTGCTGCTTTCTTCGATTATGATGACGGCTAGATTGACTACATCTGGGTATGTTGCCTTGCCTGTATGTGTGCTGTAGGGATGGATGTAGCCGTCGTTGACTGGCGTATAGGTTGCCGTAATGTTTACCTTATTATTATGTATGATTTATCTGCAAGTAAAATAATAGAGTTTTGGTGTTTGCTACCAATGCATTTTATTATTTCCATCTTCAATAGATCTCTTTAGGATATATGGTGTCACCAGCAAAAGTAAATATTTTTTACAGGGATACGAGACAGAAAAAGCTTACACATTGGTCCTTCTCCGACCTACGTCACACTCCACTGAGCACTTCACACCCAAATATCGGACGAGCAGTCACCACCAGGATACCTAGTCTCGTGTGCCAACGCGGGCCCCTCGGGAAAATCCCCAAAATCCACAAAGAAATCCTTGTCGAGCGTGAGACCCCCGTTTTCGGTGTCCACGTGTACGAGCAGCAGATGCCCGCCCTTCTGGATAAGGTCGGGGTAGAACTGACGGTCCCACGACGAGAAGAGCGAATTCGTGACGTAGAGACGTTTTCCGTCAAGGCTTAGCTGGATCATTTGCGGCCCGCCCCTTAGCTCCTTACCCTGCGACGTGGAAGGAATGGAATAGATGTCGGTTTGACGAGAAAATTAGGCTAACGTATGGACGGATGGGCACACGCGGAGCGAACTATTGACGAAGGAACCAGAGAGGAATCAGGACTTAATCTAACGAGTCGCACACGGAACCGCCGGACGGATCGCGTCAACAATCTTTGCTGCTATAAACTAGACTTACCTTGACAGTGGGCACTTCAGGCGGCGGGTTGCCGTTTTTCTCCGTGACGGCACCTCCCTCGCGTATCACCCCCCCCAGAAACACCTGCCCCACGAGCTTCGGATTGGCCGGGACGGAAATGTCGTACTGTCGCAGATCGCCTTGCAGCCAGTTGGAGAAATAGAGGAAGCGGTCGTCGAGCGAGATGAGAATGTCGGATATGAGCCCCGGGAGTTGCGGGAGAGCCCAGCCATCCACGTCCTTGGGTTCCACGCGGATGACCACCTGGCGGCGAGGGAGGTATAAGGGTAAAAATCCAGCACAATTGGGGTAATAGGGTAAGAATCCAGTGAGGAAGAGTTGGTTAGTCTTATCTAGCTGTATGTAGATGTGGCATGCAAAGGCGATGAAGCGGGAGCGATCGTGAGGAACATTGAGAATGTCAGATAAGAGCCCCGGCAGTTGTGGGAGAGCCCTGCCGTCCACCTCCTGAGCGTATCACGTCAACACGTCGACCCCCATTCCCACCTACCCGGGTTCACTTACATCAGTGCTCCATTTTCCCGCGTCATCCTTGCTGATTCGAATGATGTTGCTGCTGAGCGCAGCGCCGACGAATCCCACCGCCTTATCCGGATCGTGCACAAATCGAATCTCCAGGGGAATTAGCCCCTCGATCCCCAAATCGACGGTTTGAGTCAGCTCATGCGTCGTCCAGTCCCAGAAGTACAAGTGCCGCCCGTAATCCTCCGCCACGTGTCCCGGGTCGAATCCCTTGGTGAACCGCTTCGGCGCGCCCCAGGCGCTACTAACGAGTACGTTATGCCGCGGCTGGTACCAGTAGTCATAATGGAACGGAAGCTTCGCCCCGCCTTCCTTCTGCCACCGGCCCTTGATCTCGAAATCCTCACTCAGTAACAAGAACCCCGTGTCGCCAGCGTTACCCTCCGGGTCGCCCAAAGCGGAGATTAAGATTTCTCCAGAGCCCAAGCAGTGCGTCGTATGAAGGTACGCCAGCCCGGTTTTCGCGGCGATATCTTCGGCCTGCACGACCTTGTGGAGGGACGGCGCGCGCGGATCAGTCGCGACATCCACGGCGTAGACGCGGCTCGACCTGGAGTAGCGTGTGGACCATTGAGGCAAAAGATGAAGTGTGAGCTTTGTCTAGAATCTGGTGCTTCAGACGTTTTTAGTGGCGAAATGGTTGAACTGAGCTCCACAATTTTATAGAGATGCGTGACGTACTGTAGAGCCGGCAGGACGAGGTATTTGCGCGACTTAGTGGGATCGTTGACGCACGAGCTACATGCGTTCCATCCTGCGACGCACAACGCGAAAGAACAAAGAAGCTTTTATAACTACACGTGAATTGCAAAGCAGCACCGAATTCGATACCGAAATCATTAGATGCCGGTGGCCAAGACTTACTTGGACCATGTAATTCGTTCACTAAAGAGGAAAATATCCGCGGCATACCTGAGTGATGGAGCTCGTCATTAAGGTGCGGCATGAACAGCCGGTGGATTACTTGACCGAAACTTCCCGATTCTGGATCCACGTCAATTGTTGCCAGGAAATCCGGCTTTTCGATGCCTGTCCCAGTGTAGATACCCGTCGTGTACAGCAGCTTCTCGCGCGGTCCCTCCATGGCTTTTAGCGGGGATACGTATCCGGGGCCCTTGCCGCAGCAAGAGCCCGCTGCCACATCAGCGCCGGACTTACCGCCACCCATAGTTGTCTGCGTTTGGAAGGGGAACTGAGCAGCAGCGCCTCCAATTACGGGCCTAAGACCGACGCTAGAGGGGCAGACTATGAGATACGAGATAAATCTTGACTGCAGGATAGAGTGGTCACAAGAACGAAGGCAGACAACTAGATGAACATTGAACTCATGGATTTGCATCACAACCTCTTCCGAACACAACGGTTTGAAGTTGAATGCCTTCTTGGTGACGGAGGCGTCGGGTTCGGGGAGGGCGAACTGGGGAGTGGAGGAGGGGGCGAAATTGAAAATTGGAAGTGGGGAGTTGCGCTGGGGCGAACAAATCCAGCCCAATGCATGACTTGCGCATTCACAATCCAATTCCTTATCCTCGCCAATCAAAGGCTGGTACACCTTGATTCTCGATGTTTGAACAATCGGGAGCCCCGGCTACAGTGCGCACGTGTGCTTGGATTCAGCGGGCTGGTGCTTACATAGGAGAACGGTAGACAACGGTTTATAAGTATAAACGTGCTTTTGAGTTTGGTTTCGTGCGGCAAAAGTGCTTATACGGTATGTTCTGGGACCAATTTGTACGCATTGATGTCAGTACAACCGGCTTGTCAATATGGCGAATGTCAGTGTGGCGCGAAACAGGGTGTACACCCAATGTGCTTCCGAACTTGTGCACGCGTGCGGTTCGTCCATGTGCGTCGGAATGGTGCGATTGGTGCGATTCAGCGAACCTGCAGCATTTCAGATTCTGCGTGTAAATTCGTCAAAGAACATTGCGGGACAACCACTGACATCCGTATTACACCTTAGTGAGCATACTTATATCAAGAACGCGGAGCACCCCAGTCCCGCCCGACACGTTCGAGGCTCCACCTGGCGAACTTCGTCCACGACGAACAGTGCAGAAAGCCCTAAAAGGGATACATTACTGTACCCACAACATACTTCCACAACATACTTGCACAAAAGCACTACAAAACGAAATTCATCCGCCAAACTTTCCGCAGTCCCGTTATCTCGTTTTCGAGTCATCTCGTTCTCGTTTTCGTAATCCACCAGCCTTGGCGTTGTTCCACGCAGAAGGCGAGGGCGGTGCGGCCTGAGCAGCTTTGCTGGCTAGTGAGCGGGAGGAAGTAGGAAAAGAAGGTTACGTCTCATTGTCGCGCTTCGTGCTTTATGTTCCCATGAAGTCGCCGGTGGAGTGGGAATTGCGTTGGTAGCTCTCTCTTTATTGCAAAAGCTGGGGTTTATGACCTTCAAGTTCACCTTATAGAGGTTCGAACAGACTGTTAAGCTCGTGCGCAGGGGCAACTGAACGTATAACTGCGAGGCTAAAAATATTTGCTCTTACTGTCCTTTCTGCGACAATCTATATATTCTCTTTCGCGTGTACATTTGCGTCGGTCCCAGTCTTATTGGTACAATGCAGCCGCATGGGAACTGTCGTCCACCAGGCGACAGTTTCGCCGCATTCCCTGCATTCTCATGGCTGGATGATCCGTCTCAATCTGGAGCCTCCACGCATCTCTTCCGGCAGCAGCAACGGCAGCAGCAGGAGCAGCAGCAAATACAGCAGCATAGTCAACAGCAATATTTTCCGCAGCAGCAGCAACGGCAACAGCAACAGGAAGCGCGACCTCCTCTGCCGCAACCCCAGGCTGTCCCATACCCACTGGACACATTTCAACCTCGCAACCCTAACTTTCCGCGGCCCGAGTCGACAGCACCTGCAGAGCCAGCGGCGCCGGCGGCGGCAGGTTTGGAGGAGTGGTTGATGCACCAGGAGGTTCGCCGCGCCGGTCCCTCTACTGAGCAATTAGCGCTTTTGGAGCTTCTGGCACAGCAACAGCTGCAGCAGCCGCCGCAGCAGCAGCAGCAGCAGCAGCAGCAGCAGCAGCAGCAGCAGCAGCAGCAGCAGCAGCAGCAGCAGCAGCAGCAGCAGCAGCAGCAGCAGCAGCAGCAGCAGCAGCAGCAGCAGCAGCAGCAGCAGCAGCAGCAGCAGCAGCAGCAGCAGCAGCAGCAACAACAACAACAGCAGATTCCCCCGGGAGTGCTTCTGGCGCTTCTTCAGCAGACCCTTCTAGGCGCCTCCAGACCTCGTGGGCCCGTCAACCAGGGCCCCATAAATCAGGGCCCCTTAAATCAGGGCCCCATAAATCAGGGCCCCATCAGTCAGGGCCCCATCAGTCAGGGCCCCATCAGTCAGGGCCCCATCAGTCAGGGCCCCATCAGTCAGGGCCCCATCAGTCAGGGCCCCATCAGTCAGGGCCCCATCAGTCAGGGCCCCATCAGTCAGGGCCCCATAGATCAAGGCCCCATCAGTCAGGGGCAGCTTGGGGTTGCGGCTGGATCGACTCAAAAGTCATTTGGTTACAGGCATGCTGCTGCTGCTGCTACTCCAGCAATGGACGGTGCTTTGGGGCGCGGGCCCCAGGAGACGGCCACCAGTGCGGACAGCAGCAATGCTGCTGCCACTCGCCTCACGCCACGTGCTGGAGCAAGTTCTGCTTCTGCTCCTGCTGGTACCGTACTTGCTGCTGCGGCAGCGACTGTTGGTGGTGCTACGGCATCTGCTGCTGCTGCTGCTGCTGCTGCTGCTGCTGCTGCGTTGGTCGCCCCAGCAGCGGTTGGAGAGAACAGGTTCAGATCGGGCAACGAGGAAGGAAAGAGGGGAGAAGAAGAACGGGGGATGAGGGGAGAGGGGCGAGAGGGGGGCGCCAATGTGAGGGGAATTGGCCCTCACGGGGAGAGAACAAGAGTGAGGGAGAGTGTGAGTGTGAGGGAGGCAGATACAGTGCAGGCAGAATGCAAGCTGTTAACAAATATCGTTGAGGTGTCTCAGCACCCATTTCAGCCCCTGCCTAAAGCCCTTCCTGGAGCCCTGCTTGAAGAACAGAATCAAACCCTGCATGAATCTCTGCCTGAAACCCTCCTGGAAAGCTTGTCCCAAGCCGTGCCCCAACCCCTGCCTGAAGGCTTGCCTGAATCCGTACCTGAAGGCCTACCCGAAGGTTTGGCTACAGGTTTGCCCGAGCATGTCCAGGTGGAGTGGCGGCCGCGCACACGAACCCGATGCGACGCCGGCGCCATCGCGAGGGGGGTGATCAAACCGCGGAGCATGAAGGAGAGGCGGCGGCGAGACAAGATCAGGTGAGCTTGAATTGCGCAGGACAAACCACTTTCTTGCTTCTCCCACCCCCCTCCCCCCCCGTCACCCTTCTCTCCCTCCTCGCCTCTCCCCTCCCTGTTCTTCCTTCTTCTGCCCCGCGTGCTCCTTCTACCCCGCGTGCTTCTTCTGCCCTGCGTGCTCCACGAGCAATGGGCTGGGCCACCTGAGGCAAGCCACCTCCATCCTTTTCCCCTCGCCTTCTCCCTCCTCCCTTTCCGCCGCGTTTCCCTATTTCCCCTCCCTTTTCCCCCACCCCGTTCCCCGCTGCTCGACCAGCAATGGGCTGAGCCAGCTGAGCCTAGTACTTCCTGCCGTGCGGATAGTGACACACATAGTGACTTTTGAGTCGACTCAAAAGTCACCTAGCAATGGGCTGGGCCAACTGAGCCTAGCATTTCCTGCCGTGCGGCTACTGGCACACATTCCATGGTTCCATCGCCCCTCCTCTCTCGCCCCTCCTTCCCCCCCTTCCTTCCCCGCCTTTCCTTCTCCTCGTGCCTTTTCTCCCCACCTTTTTCCAACCTCCGCCACCCCCGCCCCCTTCACGAGCAGCGATGGGTTGCGGCAGCTGAGGCAAGCACTCCCCGCCATGCTGCTTGGGCCACGGCAGGACATGGCGTCGATGATTGAAGCGGCCATCCACCATATTGGCAATCTCGAGGTAAGCTGCTGGGCTGGGTTTGGCTGGGCTGGGCTGGGCTGGGCTGGGTTCGGCTGGGCTGGGCTGGGCTGGGCTGGGTTCGGCTGGGCTGGGCTGGGCTGGGCTGGGCTGGGCTGGGTTCGGCTAGGCTGGGCTGGGCTGGGCTGGGCTGGGCTGGCTGGGCTGGGCTGGCTGGCTGGGCTGGGCTGGGCTGGGCTGGGCTGGGCTGGGCTGGGCTGGGCTGGGCTGGGCTGGGCTGGGCTGGGCTGGGCTGGGCTGGGCTGGGCTGGGCTGGGCTGGGCTGGGCTGGGCTGGGCTGGGCTGGGCTGGGCTGGGCTGGGCTGGGCTGGGCTGGGCTGGGCTGGGCTGGGCTGGGCTGGGCTGGGCTGGGCTGGGCTGGGCTGGGCTGGGCTGGGCTGGACTCGTCTTTGTGGCTTCTTCCGCTTACATTCTTTTGCGACCGTACATTGCAAACAAAAGTGATGGCTGTTTCTAGTTTTCCTGATTTTATTAGCCCATTTGGTGACAAACTTGTTTGTCTTCCCGCCACCTGATTGCCGTTTTCATGTTTCCCTTCCGTTGCACCATCTTCTCATGTGCCAGTCCCGTATCCAGGAAATAGAGGCGGATGAGGATGGAGATGGAGGGGAAAGGGGTTCCCAGAAGGAAACTGTGAGTGGATGTGAGATGCCTAGGAGCGGGCTTCGGGATGTGAAGGCGGAGGAAATGGAAGGGGAAATGGAAGAAGACACCGAAGGCAGCTCGGAAAATGAGGAAGATGCAGACAACAATGATGGCCACGATTCACGCATCAACATTCAAGTTAAAGAGTAAAACCTCAAGTCATGTCCAAGCGACTTTGCTGAAAGTAGGACGACAACAACAATAGAAGCTTTATCTCAATCTTCAACTTATAGATAGTTCATCTTGAAATATCGAGCTGCATTATAGGCGTCCCTCTGCGCTTGACTCGGTTTTGGGAGAACTCAATCAACAAGAGAGAATGTTCCACCTGTGCCACCGCCCTACGTGAGAACTAATCAAATCCTGATCGCTAGCTTGCAGCTTCCTTGCAGCATAAGTGACTGCAGCGAGGGCGACAACAACGTTTACACGCGCAGAGGGGCTTTCAACTGTAGACTTGAACCGTCATCGTCACGCGCATGATCAATCCACCTGTTGATTGGCTGTTATTTGCTGGTTCAATCGAATCCGATTCTTGGACCAGGGGAATCAGATCTGTCAGATCAGCAAACTCTGTGGTTTGAATGGCGACTTCACTTTCCTCTTGTCGCAGAGCTGGAAGACGAAGGACTCTACAGACTGTTCCACCCAGGCACGAAAGATTAGCCAGTTACAGAATCACTCGCCGAATCAAGTTACAAGATGCTGCCCGAAATTTCGAGAATTCGTTACGCGCCCGTACAAAAGCAACGATCAGAGGGGCATTCGTCGCCAACAAGTTACTTCATAGCCTGGGTTTCGCCGTCGGGTTGAGCGGATCTACTGTTCTTGCAGCTTTCTGATTGTCTTGGGTGCAACGTTTTCCCCCTTTGTCCGATCTTTCCTCCTGGCAGTTTCTGGATATATTTGACTCGATCCACACGACCCAGCCGTACGCCATCACGTGCATTCGCCTCTCTACTGGCTCGTTTTTCACTCCACGCTTCTCCATTCCTGTCATTTTCTAATCCCCACTTGGAACAGCTTACTTTCCCTCACCGCCAGCAGCATTACAGCTGGAGTGCCCGATCGCCCGCGTATCGAAAATTATCCAACTTTTTACCGAGTGAACCAGTCCTTGTACCTAGAACTAGGGTCCACACGATCACCACACACTGAGAGGGTATCTCAGATGTCTGAGTCCACGTGGGTCCGGCTCGGACCTGACGGACCAGCTCAAGAACCAGTGCGTGAACCAGGGCGGACCGGGACCAGGATGCGGGGCTTGTAACCCCGTTATACCGTTCGAATGGCACTAAAACGGTGCCATTTAGTTGGCCCTCCAGACCAGTCCGCGCCTGGTCCGTAAACAGTGGGTGGTGAAACATTTTTTTTTTGCGAAATTTCTTTTTTTGTAAGTTCCGCGTGAGATTTTTGTGCAGACGAAGAAAATGGGTAACTCAATTTCAAATTCGTCGCTACTGCTGCAGCTCGCAAATACTGTGCATTCCGAAGCGCGACGCATCTGGCAGACCAGTCCGTGTCTGGTCCAACGCTGGTCCGCCAAGTGGGTCCGTCGGACCAGAACCCCGGACCAGGCGTATAGATTCTGGTCGCGGACCAGATCCAGCGGACCCTTCACATGAGACACGTCCTGAACCACCACGAGCCCCCGTCTCGCCTCGTTCCGTTTCATGCTGATCTACAAATAGCAAACCCGCTTCAGGCCAAAGTTACCCGCCACAACTTCCCTCCTGCCCTGTGTGACCCGTCACTCAGTTCTTGCCTTACCTGGCCCGATTCTCCCACCGACTTTGCCTAACTCCCAGGCTCCCAGTCTCCCTCCCGTTCACATTCCCGTTCTGTCCTTTTCCTTTCACCTCGTCTCAGTTCATTCCCTCCCTCAGATGTCCCAACCACTCGAACATCAGCAGCAGCAGCCGCGGCATGAACAGCAGCCCGAACAGGCCAGCGCTGACTTTTCGTTTCAGGAAGCCGCGAAATTGCTGCTCGACTCAGAACATCTCGATTACTCCCCCGCGTCGCTGCTGCTAGACGAAAGCTTTGCTTCATTCGCGCAAACTACTAGCTCCAAAAAGCACATCCCTTCGCCTGTCGCCTCTGCTTACAACTGCGGCCGAGCCGCGCTAGAAGAAGATATTCTCGAAGCACTGATAGAGGGGGGTTCCACCGTAAACGGGTCTCTCGTCGCAATTTCCGGAGCGCCCGCTCCCGACGGCGACTCTTCGCTCGATAGAAACGCTTCGCGTGACGCGAAACATTCGGAATTTTATCATCGAGCCTCAATGGTTCCCGGCGATCTTGATCGCGACGAAATTCGGCATTTAACAGCCGCATCCGGCGCAGCGCCTCGAGGCGGCGGCCGCGAAGGGTGTGACTTCGTCAATGACCGCGCCGCGGCTGCACCCGCCGCCTTTGCCGCTCCGCAAGACGCGCGGCGGGAACAGACACAGCAAGATGGCGCCGGGCTGGCGTCGCGAGTCGCCACCGAAACGGCGTCTGCGGCCGATGTCGAGCAATGGCTTCGCGCGCTGGAAGAGGTTAGCGGCGCGGCTGATGGCGACATTGCCGGCGCGGCGCTGGCGCCAGGCTTGCAGATTCCTTTCGCTTTGCTCCAACAATCTGCGGACGCCGCGTTGTTCGCTCAGCTTCAGATGCTCTCCTCGCAGCCATTCGACGCCGCGCCGGCACTTGACCTTCGCGACACGGTGGTAACCAGACCTGTAACCGGCGGCGGGAGTTCCCTCGCACATCCTGCGCGAAATCATTCCTTCGCGCAGAACGTTCCAATAGCGACCTCGGGCCCAATCGCGCGACACGGATTTTCCGCGATGTCGGGCGCGGAATCTCCGCGTTTATCGCCCACTGGGAGCGTATCAGGTCACAACCAACGGCGCTTCGCGACTCGGGGTCGTGACGGCGACGCGAGTCGCAACTATCAGGCTTCGACCCTCACCCGACCTGGGGACTTCGCAGTAACAACCGCATCTCAAGCGGAGTCGCGAGAGGCGTTCCCCGGCGGCGACTGTCTCTTTAGCGGCAGCGGCTCCACGTTCCCCCCAATCTCCCCGACCGGCGGAATCTCCCCGCGCTACCCGCCGACCCACAGTCACGGCGCGTCTACCGGCGCCGCCGCGGCGTCTCAGAATGGGTCGCTGCTCGCCGCGCCCTCCGCCGCCGGGTCCGGCGCCCCACCGCCTTCTAAATGCGCCAGCAGCAAGCTCGCACTGGAAATGTTGCACAAGATGCGGCAAGGCGGGTTAGTGTTACCGGGGGTATCAGTACCCGGCCAGCCCTTACTCTCCGCCGCAGATGCTGCTATGCTCGCGAATGATGGCGCGTTCGCGGGTTTCGACGGCTTGGAAGACGTCAAGACAGATATGACGGCTTCTCGTGCTGCTCCTGCTTCAGCTTCTGCTCCTGCCCCTGCCCCAGCTCGTGTCAGTACTGCGTCTGCTGCTGCTGCTCCTGCTGCTGTTTCTGCTTCACTTTCCCGCGTTCCCCAGGCGCTGATAGGCATCCGGGGGCCGGACGCGTCGGGTGCACTGCTGATCGGGAGCCGGCCAAGCCAACCTGCCATGAGATCTCCACGCACAAGCCCGCTGAGCCAACCCGGTGTTAGGTCACCCCGCGCAGGGGCAGGAGAGGCCGGAACCCCTGGAGATGCGAGAGGCAGCGGGGATGGAAGCAAGCAGGCGCTGGACTCACCTCGCATGGGCGCTTCAGGTGCAGGTGGGGCAGTGGCAGCAGCAGGAGGGGGAGGAGGAGGAGGGTCAGTACGGGCGGCAGGAGTGAAAGCCCAGGTGATGTCCGAAGGAAGAGGAGGTGCGGGGCCTGCCACGTCAGCGCCGTTGTCGGGAGGCGGGGCGGGTTTGTCGGGTGGATTGTCGGCAGAGGACGACTGGCGGCCGCGGAGTCGAACGCGGTTTGACGCCGAGGCGATGCGCAAGGGGGAGATCAAGCCACGGAGCATGAAGGAGAGACGGCGGCGAGACAAGATCAGGTGCGTTTGACAGTGGTTGGTGGGTGTGAGGTGGAAGGGAGTCAGGGAAGTGTAAGAGAATTTTTGGTGTTAACTGGATTGTTGTAAGTGCGCGAACTTGTTGCATGTGGAGCTATTTAACATTGCCTAGCTCGACTCGTCCGTTTATGTCATCATGCTCTCCTGTGCCCCGTTTCCTGCCTGTTTCCTCCTATTCCTTCACAGCGAGGGGTTGAGGCAACTACGGCAAGCCATCCCAGAAAGTCTGTTGGGTGCACAACAAGACATGGGTGCTATGATCGAAGCAGCAGTCCTGCACATAAGCAATCTACAGGTACGCGCATCGCGTTATCATGGATGTTTAGTATGTCCCACATATGGTACTTTCTTAATCGCGGAAATGCTGATTCACTGTCTCGTGGTATTTTGTGCAGGCTCGAGTGAGCAAGCTTGAAAGAGGTGCAGCGATTGAAGAGATTGTAGACAGAATGCAGCCATGATTATGTAGGTTCTCTTGTGCTTCAAATGAATGTTGTTTTGTGCTACTTTGGTGTGAAGGTCGGTTTCCATGTGGTTCAGTTTGTATGCTTAGAGCGTACACCTGTAGTCTATATCAATCGGTTATTGATGGACTGTACAAGCCATATTGTACGCGTTCAACCTAGTCGACAGCTCTCACGATTATTTGGTCATTTTCAACGGCATTCAACTAGGTTTCCGGGCTCTGGGCTTACCTCTGGTCAAACCTCAGGTTAACACTGTAGCCAACCTTGCAATTAGCACACTTGGTGAGAAAAGGCCCAAGACCTGAATTACTCAACGGAAGTTAACGCAAAAAACTAGGTTCGGGAGGCAGGCACGGAGAGGTTCGATTGGGTTGCGAGAGACTTTCTCTCGCGAAACCAATTTGCGACAAAAGTTTCTCGCTTCCCATGATGGGTGGGGTCCTTCCCACAACCAGAAAAGCGCATGCATACCAAACTGTGCACAATTTGAGACAGCACGCAGGGTATTAGGCATAGAGCATATCGGTAGACAGGGCAGGGCGTCGGCGTTCACTCAAAAGGGATCAGATGCGCCTTAGAGCGCGTTCCTACGGGTCCCTATCAGGCCAGCCCCTTGTCAGACTCGCCTCAAACACCAGAATTTCGGATTAAACGCATTTTGTATGAGACGTTTTGATCGTTTGGGAAGTGCGTGACAAAATGCGTTGGGTGACGTGGCACTGCGCAACGGTCCTGAAAGGTTGCAAAGGAAAAAAAATCCGAGTTCAGACAGATTCCAGGCGATCATGACGTGTGTTTGGCGGAAAAGTCTTCGTATGTTTCATACCCGACAAAACAGCATGTGTGAAGAATTTCGCACGATTCCCTGACCATGGCTCGCTGAAACAGCACCTTTCGAAAGATTTCGCGCGATTGCCTAACAAGGGTCACTGAACAGCACGTGTCAAAGAATTCGCTCGACCAATTCATCGAAGAGCATTGTAATTTTTCAAGTATGGAAAACGGTATTAATAACGAAATCGCTCGCATGCACCAGCCTGACAAGGGGTTAGCCTGATAGGGGTCCGTAGGATGTGGGTGGCGCCGATTTCGGTGATGACGCGCGAAGCTAGTGTTCGCTAGGTAAAGATTTTTGTGTCGAAATGCACTTTATTGTGCAACTACTGCGTAGCGTAAACTCGCGGCGAAAATCGAATCGCACCTGTTCGCCCAAGCGTGACAATCCCCTCGCCCTCGCCTTCCTTTCCCTAGGTCCCATGCGTCCGCTCTCTGTCGCCGGCGTCGTCACCATCGCTTCCCCAGCCCGTCGCCTTCGATCCGCCCGTCGCCTTCACTTCCCCCCCGTCGCCCCTACCCCCCCCCCCCCCCCCCCCCCGCTCCGTTGCCTTCATTTCCGCCTCCCGTCGCCTTCACTTCCCCCTCTCGTCGCCTTCACTTCTCCCCCTCCCGTCGCCTTCACTCCCCCCCCGGAGTGTTCGCCTTCACTTCCCCCCATCTCGTCACCTTCACTTCCCCCCCGGAGTGTTCGCCTTCACTTCCCCCCCGGAGTGTTCGCCTTCACTTCCCCCCCTCCCGTCGCCTTCACTTCCCCCCCTCCCGTCGCCTTCTCTTCCCCCCCTCCCGTCGCCTTCTCTTCCCCTTCCCGTCGCCTTCACTTCCCCTTCCTGTCGCCTTCACTTTCCCTTCCCGTTGCCTTCACTTCCCCTTCCCGTCGCCTTCTCTTCCCCTTCCCGTCGCCTTCTCTTCCCCTTCCCGTCGCCTTCTCTTCCCCTTCCCGTCGCCTTCTCTTCCCCTTCCCGTCGCCTTCTCTTCCCCTTCCCGTCGCCTTCTCTTCCCCTTCTCGTCGCCTTCTCTTCCCCCTCCCGTCGCCTTCAATTCCCCCTTCCGTCTGCTTCAATTCCCCCTTCCGTCGCCTTCACTTCTCCCCCCCAATGCCTTCAATTCCCCCTCCGGTCGCCTTCCCCGCATGCCGCACTTGCTTTCCCGCCCTTCACACTTGCTTCCCCACCCGTCGCCTTCACTTCCCCTTCCATTGCCTTTCGCTCTCTCCTACTCACTCTCCCTGCTCACTCTCTTTCCCACTGCTCACTCTCTTCCCCCCTGCCCACTCTTTTCCCCACCCTTCACTCTCTCCTCTCTTGTTCACCCCCTGTTCTCACCCCTCTTCCCCCCTTCACTCAACCGTTCTCCCCTGCTCAACCTCTTTCCCTCTGCTCACTCTCTTCCTCCCTGCTCTCTCTCTTTTACCCGGCTCACACTCTCCCCCCCCCCTTCCCCCCACTCTCTTTCCCCCTGCTTACTCGCTTCCCCCCTCCTCAATCTCTTTCCCCTGCTCATTCGGTGGGAGGAAATAGGGTGCAAGGGTGGGGTGGTCACCATGGGCGATGGTAGGAGTAGAGAAGGTGGTAATAGGGAAGGAGTACAACGACGACCCTAAATGCGATGGGAAGGGATGAGAGGGTGGAGACGCGATGGTGAAGAGGGGGAATGTCATAGGCAGGGGAGTGATGACGATGTGGAGAGAGGTGGGAGAGAAGGGAGGTCGACGGTGGGAGGAAGAGGACGACGGTGGGAGGAAGCATGGCTGATGAGAGGGGAAGCGTGGGAGAAGGTAGGGGGAAGCGTGAGCGACGATGGGTGGGAGCGTAAGCGACAGTGGGGGAAAGCGAGGGCGACGGTGAAGGTGGTGACGGGAGGGGGAGCATGGGCAACGACGGAATGAAGTGTGAGCGACAACGGGAGGAAGCGTGGGCGACGGTGGGGCGAAGCGTGGGGGACGCGGAAAGCGATAGACAACATAGGAGGAGAGCGATCGGAGACGTAAAAGTAGCGACATCGGGCACGGCGACGTCGACGAGAGGAAGCGTGGGTGACGGGACGCGACGTCGACGAAGAAGCGCAGGAGTGGGCATAAAGCTGAGGCAAACATAGGGCGAATGCGCAGGAAATGACAGCGATCGACACTACGATTCTTATCAACCTCAGAGAGGGAGATGCATGCGCCGCAAACTGGCGTTTGCGCGGTCGCGCAGGGTTTCGACGACGACGCTGAGTAATAAGCGGGCCCATAGCAACACTCTGATCATCATACAAAATTGGTTTCTCCGTCTTATTTTTTTGTGGAATGGCCTCCGGCTTGATTGGCCCCTCTGTTCTACCTAAGAGTGCGTGCGTGCGTAAGTGTCTTAGCTTGACCTGAATTACAACTATTTTCAAACTGTCAACAGCCCAGCTCTATTCCCTTGGGGAGAGAGCGGTTGGGACTCTCGCCAACCAGACCTGTGCTGCTCTACAAATCCCTGCTTTTTTGCGTGGTGTTTTTTGGTAACCAGAGAGGCTCGGGAAGTCAACTGTGGGCTCGGGAGGCAAATTGTGCACAGTTATTATAATTTTTAAACACATTGATGTTTTTCAAAATTGTGTATTGTGAAAGCGAAGCTGACTGTACCGAATATTTGGCAGCGTCGAAGCGCGCTAAACGCCCTTCTCCAACTACAAAAACCGTGGGTTGGAGTTCATTCCCTCCACCCACGTTTCTCGTTTTCCAACGGCTCAATCAACATCCCCACCACCCACCCCGGACCAACTACAAGACCACAGCTGCTTGGACGGACGACTCCATAGCTAGTAATATTTGCATGTACTAGCATGTGTTTACGAACGATGCATATGTTGTAATAAGCCAGTTGCAATGAGAACGATGCCAAATTATAAGGACAAGAAAGCAAGCTTTCTCAATTGCCTTTTTTTTTTTTGTAATTCAGGTCTTGGGCTTTAACCAGAGGTTTGACCAGAGGATCTGACCGGAGCCTGGTATGCACCCTTATGCCAGTGCAATTTTGCAAATGCATACGATAGACGGCCGTAGGGGAAACAGGCCGACGGACCGTTATCTGCCCGCAGTCTGGATGGCATGCGATTAGGGGAGCGTCAACCCTAAACACGGGTAACCGCGTGAATTTGCCGGCGTGCCGACATCATTCCCCAAACCGTCTTTCGTATGCATTTGCAAACCTGCACTAGCGGAAGGAGCAGGAATCGAACGCACTAATGTGCACCTTCACAGGCAATGACAGGTTCGGCAACCATTTGGGGGCTGACCATGAAAAAAAAAAACTAAGGACGCGTTGAGAGTAGACGATCGATCGTCGATCACGATCGATGTGTGGATCGGTTACCCTTTTAACAAATCTGTAACCAAGCTACAGTACGCGTTCTGGCCAAAATTTCCCTACAGTGTGAGAATGCGACTGATCACTGTTCGCGGGAAAACTGTCAATATTCAGCCGCGATCGTTACAACGTCGCGGTCGCCACGTTTCGCCAAACGATCTGAACGCGCGATTGTGGGGATCGATATATGCAGACGATCCTGCTATATTTGCACTCTCAACGTGTCCTAAGAATCAAAACAGCCCCGGTAGTTCCGCGGAAGGGCTTGGCTGCTTGTCGAGCAGGGCCGTTTGGTTTGGAGTCTCGGGAAGGAACAAGCACAGCCCTTGGCGACCTTGCAAGCCACCTGTAATGTCAATTCTCTCGCCAGGTGGACGGATGTAATTGGCATAGGTTTCTACCGGGACCCTTGGAGAAACCCGCAAGCCACCCGAAACCCTGACCCTGACCGTTTCGAAATAAGTCGCCCCAGACAACTCCCTTGGCCAGTTCTTCTACCACCCCTCCAACCACTTCCCCCTCCTCGCCCCACACGTCACCATTCACATGTTTGTGTTCTTGTGACGTCACCTGATTGCCACGTGAACCTCTCCGCAAAAACGACCACTTCCACAAATCCACCTAGCTTTCTCCAATCAGAGCTATTGTAAGCTTTTCCGCCAGCTTCCTGGCCCGATCTCTTGCTGGGAACGGGTGGATCTCCAGCTTACTCTGTTCATCGGAAACTGTCGCAGCTGACATTTACTGAGCAACAGGCTGCCATGGCGGTGCCCTCCTTTACTAGCGCCTAACTCCCTCTGTAGTTGCAATTGTATATCAGATCCCAATAAGTTATCGAACATTGGAAATACATGTCTCGAACACGACTCTAATCTCTTTTCAGAAGAGAAGCGGAAGGGCTGCCTTTGATGGGTGACTGGCATTGCGGGCCGGGAAGGAGTAAATGAAGTATGGGGTATGGCCCACGAGTCACGACGTCCCTCAGTCGTATGAGCGGCTGGGCGGCGATCGGCTGTACGTTAGCGTGACTGGACAGTGGGTAGCGGTAACCATATCGATATCTAGACTGAGGACAAGGCGACGACAGCTACAAGTTGTCAAACCCAGATTTTACTCCTCCTTGCCGCCCAGGCCAGCCTCATGCTCCTTCACGCGCCGCGGAGGACTCCTCACTCTCTAGGTCAGCGACGAGATTGGTGGCTTGCATCACCACCCCTCTCCGTTTCCCAAGCTGGCATCCTACAAGGAGCAACTAAATCCGCCAGTTCATGGCGCCAGCGCAGAACGCACGGACTAGGGGGGACGAGAGAAGGGGCACCATGAAGGTTAGCAGGCCAAGCCATGGCCTTTCAACAAGATTGGAAGGCGCGAAGAGAAGCAGGAAAGTCAGGAGGAGCAAGAGCAGCACAGCAGCAGCAGGAACAGCTGGAGGGTTGTTAGCCGTACGAACACGTGTCGATGTCTGACAAGTTGTCTTTTCGGGCCTTCCGATTTTCCCAGACGAAAACCGTGCACTTCTCGTTCGTTGACACCCATGCTCACGTGTTTCCACCTCAGGGCGAATGAGAAAAGCAGGATGGGTATTCCAAGATTTTCTTCTCAGATGCCCGTGCGTATGAGAGACGACGCGCGTTGTCGCTCGACGCCAGGTCAGATTCGTTCGATGTGGCATGTCAACTCGGAATCCTGTCGTGGCTCGTTAGATATAGACGAAAAATAGACAATAAGCGTGCACCCTCGCCGCGACAGAAGTTCTAGGCTCGTGCTTAAAGGCCACTCGAGAAACTTTCTCGAAAATCATTCTGCGTCTTCCAATGTGACGACATTGTGTTTACTTAGTATTCTCGCCGAACAAATTTGGGATGAATAAGCGACGATCAAATCGCTCCGCGACAGATCAAGACTGTAAAGCTGCGATTCAGAAACCTCGTCTTGCGTTACAACGAGGCTCCAAGTTGGACTGTGGAGCCGTCTCGCGACTGTGGGGAGCTGGGCTTGCGGCGGTGAAAGCTTGTTTTACACAACCGTGTTTCTATGGGCACACTTTTCACACGAGATAGATACTGGCAGCCCCCGGTGCCCCCTTGCTTATCTCCTTCGCTTATCGTAGCGGCTTGGTGCGACCCTACTAGTTTTACCACCGACGTAGGATATCAGCGGAGGAAGAGGGAGGTGTTGAAGTTACCCATTCACCATTTCCTTTTACAAAGTCTGTCGGATGTTCAGTCCCGTCACCACCGGAACCGCTTCCGAAGAGTCCTATGATATTAGCTTTCGGCCTTGCTTCCCGAGTCGCACCACTCCAATAGCAAGAAACACCTCTCAGTAACCTTCAGGCGAAACCTCCTCAGCAATCCAGAGACGCAGCGAGTAGACGCCTCAGAAATGGACCAACAAGGTCGCGTTCTAGATCAACTCGAAGCAGCTGGACCTTTGGGGAAGCCGTTGGGGCGTCATGGTGAGGTCCCGAGCATTAAAGCCCACTTTGAGACGCACGACAAGCCCGCATCTGCCGGATATGGCCCAGATTTTGCGACCCCAAATTCTGGCCCGGGGCCCTCAAGTTGGATGGCTGTATCAGGAGGAACCAAGCTGCTGGAGGAAGGCAGTGTAGGGGAGTTGTTGGGGCGTCATGGCGTGGACCCCAGGGTGGTAGCCGTTTTGGAGACGCACAAGCAGCGCGCATTTGCCGGATATAGACCTTCGAGATGGAGTACTCACGGGGGAGGAATCAAGCTGCTGGGAGAAGCCCGCATGGGGGAGTTGTTGGAGCAGCATAAAGAGGACCCCGGCATTGGAGCCATTCTTGAGACAGCTAACAAAAGCAACAAAGGCACATCATGTGCATATAAATTATCTTTCTCCCACTCGAGCTGTGGAGCAGGAGAAATCAAGTCTCTTGGAGAATGCGGCATCCCAAAGGCTTCCCAAGTCCGGTTTGGTTCGGGGAGTGATGGACATGGCCTCCGCGTTGGGGAGATTCTTGATGCACCCAACCGAACCCCATGTGCATGTGGGTCATCTGCTGCACACTCGAGCCGTGGAGCAGGCGATATCAAGTCTGCTGGAGAATGCGGCATCTCAACGACTTCGGAAGCGTTATTTGGGTTGGGGTGTCATGGGCAAGACACCATTATTGAAGCCGGCATGCGCCAGCCTCAGATGCCCACGTGCATTCTCGATGCCACGTGTGAAGCAAGCATGCACCAGCCTCAGATACCCACGTGCATTCTCGATGCCACGTGTGAAGCAAGCATGTACCAGC